TGCCACGGGCTATGGGACTGGTTTCGAAACGCGAGAAATTAGCGTTTGTTTCCCGTGCGGAAATGCCACTGGACGTTTCCCCCGGCGGCCATCAGTTTGTTTTTTATAAATTGTTTCGCGGGTGAATAGGTTCGTTTGCCTATGATTTACGGGGGCACGGTTCCGCAAAGTGCAATGAAACAGCAATCAGAGGACACCGGAACGCCGACTTTTGAGAATCATGCAATCGAGACACGTCGAAATTGGAAATTTCAGGTACGTCCGTGTACGTTCGGTAGCTGCAATGCAGTTTCCTCTGTAGGGCCGCGATCGATCTAATGCGCGCGGTGCATAAGGCCGTATACCCCGTTCCGGTGCATCAGCGGCACAGTGCAGCGACTGATTTTCGGTGGCGTCGGGTCTTTTTGCACGGTTTCGTGAACGGACTCCTTTGGAACCGTGACGATTTCATTTCATATCGCCGGTTAATGGGTTACGATGGTCATTCATCTTAGGAAAAAATTAATCTAGGAGAATGGGAAGATTACTGCTTCGAGAATATTTTATAAAATTTTGTTTTCTTCATGTCTGTGTTGAATAAGATATTCGTAATAACTGAAAGTAGAATGTTTACTTATTTGTATTTTGTAATTGGTGATTGGTAAATTAAACGTACGGAAAATATTATATTGGCAGAAAGATCTCTTAAAATAATGAAATTGAATCGATTTTAGTTTCAATATGGTAATGAGAATTCGACTATCTAATTATCCTTCTTCATAAATTGTGATATTCGAGAAAGAAGTCACGAAGATATACATAATCCATCACAATTTAAATATGACCTATTCTAATCTCTCTCGAAAGATTCGAAATCAGACCAAATTGAATTCACAATATTACATTCGACTACATTATTCAATAACCTTCAAATTTATTTCAATTTCATCTTGCATTATATAATTATAATTCTATTACGTAAGTTATATTTTCAAAAATGAGTAATGAAAATTCTGTTAAATTGAGAGATACGAAGATAGTCGAAAAATTCACGAAAACTTGAAGACAAAAGGCAGAGTTGTGCAAGCAGGACGATAGAAGACAGGTAGACGGGAAAGCAAACAAATCCAACGAGCGAATACAACGTGGCGAATATCCTGGAATGCATTCGAAGATCGAGTCTCTGTTCGCCGTTCTCTTTTCCATATCGCGAGAACGTGTCCGCGTTGGATTTAATGACTACCAGGAGCGTAATATCTTTACCGATGGCCCGGAAATGGATTCAACGCGGATACCTTGAGACACTGGAACCGAGCGGCGCCGTCGTTGGTTATGCAAGACCCAGCCGGAAGGACTGTCAGACCGGAAAACGTCGTTCCGCGGAAATTTTTCTTTCGTCGTTGATAACCAGATCAATTCGGACCGAGGAACGCAATCACCGATGACCTTCCATTCAACTTTTCGCGAATTACTTCAGGAAATTGTTCGAGAATTTGAATAAAGGTATTCGATGATGCGCGCACTGATATTTTTATAAGTGATGTTAATGATATTAATATTTTAATATGGCAGTATCAATAATATTAATATTTTAATATTGTAATAATAATAATATTAATATTTTAATACAGTAATATTAATAATATTCAAATTCAATTTTTTATATGAATGAAAGAATTGTTACACTATAATTAAACATTACGAAAGCCCTCAAAATTCTAATATTTTCGAACTATTATTTAAATTGAACTGTAAGTTATTTTCACGGATATCCAATTTCCCTTGGCAGAGAATTTTCGGTGAACACTGCAGCGGCCCAGACGGTGTTTTCAAGTTTCCGTTTTCAATAACCATTTCTGGGAACTTTATTACATATTAATTTCAGCGAAGATTACATTGCGCCGGACAATCTGCGAAGAAAGTTCTCCACTTAACCAGGGTCTCCCCAGAGATGCAAAAATAACGATTAAACAAAGATATCGCGCAATAAAAGTTCCCAAAGATCGATCCAACTGCTCTCAAACATTGCGCGCGGTATAATAACGTTCCACGAGTTCCCAAGTTCTCCCGGTGAGCGTATGTATGTATCCCAGTTACTTATATTGATCGAAAATGTGGAAGACACGGTGCGGAGCGTACCGTAAAGTTATTAGTTCCGTCAATTTTGCAGTTTCTGAAGCATGCTGGAGATTGTTTTTGACCGCGAATCTCTGCGTGAATTTTCACCTGGAATTTTGTTTATAAACTTCCCGCACCACGCGAAAAATCATAAAGTAATAACGGAGGAACCTGAAGGACCGTGCACTTTAAATTGAACATTCTCCAATAAACAATAAAAACTTCCTGGCCAGGCTATTGAAACTTCGGAATTTATCAGTTATTAAGAAAAAAATAAATACTCTATGAAGCTATACTATCGTACGTTGATTACTGGAGAATGGAAAAATTATGTTAAAACTTTCAACGCGAAAGCTAACATCGTTTCAAAAAGCATCTCTTAAAAATATTTTTCTAGGAGATTCAAGGAGATCAGTGAAATTATGTAAAATTTTTAGTTTCAGTAAGATTGTGCAGTAATTAATGTTTCTGTAGAATGACTTGCGAATTAATTTCTCAAACGTTGAAATCTACATCCACGGTGTTGATAGTTAAGGACGTTGTTTATTTGGCAGTAATATACGTAACAGATTGGCAACGTTTGTAGACTTCCAGTTCTACTTCAAATAACATGTTCACCAACGACATAGTGGACCAAACACAAGCTTCAAAGCGATGTAGTAAATGTCTACAGAGTTCTGCTGCATTGACATTCGTGTATACAGTTAAACGCGCTAATCATGGTTTCTAAGTGAATTCCTACTTAACAACAACCGTACAGCGAATCTTTCAAATGATCGGTTTTAAAGTTTGACTGAAAATTCTGCGTTGTCTTTCGTTGGTTTATATCAATTCCTATATTGCCTGATTAATCAGCTTTTCAATGTTTGTCTTTCCCTTTGTTTTTATTTCCATTGAGAAACATTGTTAAGTACTCGTGGTTACCGGAATGGTGTTCGAGTTTTGTTGAATTTTGCACGTGGTGTGCAGACTAATAAACTTGTACGGTTCGAAGGACCACCCGATGGTAATCGGGAACAAAACTTGGAAATGAGTAGGAGGTGAAGTGGACTTTGACTATAATGCTATGTGCTTGATCGAAATTGCTAATTTGTGCTTTGTAGTCCGTACTTCCTACTCCGTACTCTGTGCTATGTACAATTTGAGCTGATACTTGTCGAACTTGATTCTCAACTGACTGGGCCTCCCAGAAACGTCTTCGACGACACCTCCGCAAGTCGTCTTCGCGGGGGTGAAGTCGTTCTGGTTGGCCCTTTAATTCTAGAAGTTTGTGGAAGGGAGAGACAGTCCCCTCCCTTCTTGGGTCTCCAAGTTGCTAATGTTAATAACTAATTCGTCCCGTTTGCAGTCGTCGACCGTGGCAGGTAAAAAAGCGAGAAACGCTTAGGCCCTTAAACACACATGCTAAACGGGCTAGAGAGTCACAAATGCTGGTAACTGGACGACAGATGAACAATAGACAGCGAAAGTGTACAGTAAGAATAGCGGGCCTTATGGGTTCAGGGATTTATGGCTGCCACGGTCCCTTCTCGTAATACCGTAAGGACGACTGCAACTTGCGACGGGACGAAGGCTCTTATTGCTACGAAAAAACTAACAAATGTACAGCTAAGTCTTAGAAAGATAAAAGGCGTACACAAAACTAAAACTACGGTCGTTCAAGGGCCCGGACGAAACGGTAAGGCTATAAGTGGCCTTAACAAACATTGTTCATCGAACTTGTTTACCTTTCTGTTGTAGCCAGTTAGTTGACAGGTTATGTAAATGATAGGTATTTACAAACTTTCGAATCAAAATTTCTGAATCAGGGAAACAACACTAAGAAGAACAAAACATCGCTAAATTACTCAAATTTATTTGATTTGCGATTGAAGCACCTACAACACTTGTTACTTAACATTAAGAAGGTTGATTTTAAAAAAAGATTTCTAATAGCAACTAATTACAAGACAATAATCTAATCAAAGATGAGAAAAAAGGTTAAACCTTCGAAACTCATCGTAAACAAATGGTTATTTAGAAATAAATATTTTCAAGCTTAATTGCTCTAAGTACAGTAGAGAGTAACATTACAAAAATTGAATGTTACCTTTTCAATTATAGGAAGAATAGTGTTTATGATATTCCATGTTGAGTTACAACGATCTTTCATTTTTAATTACATTACGTAATAAGTTGTTTAAAGGACAGAACCAACCGTATTCTGCGAAGATGAATTTTATACGTTATTTTAGTAAATTGAATTACTCTATTCGCAGGAATCCAGTGCCGGATGGCGAGACACTGTATCTAATTTCGCGTGACACAACGCTCCAAAACAGTAGTCGACAATGATCCACCAATCTACGATGGTACCTAGGAGTACATAGATGGAGTAACAGCTAGATTGGATTACTTGCTATAGACGTCTCTCTCGTCTAAGTGCAGGTATACACCAATCTATTACAAGGAAGCAATGCTTTTGCAACGGGGACCACCGAGAGTTAGCCGGAGATTTATCGCGACCAATGAACGGTGAAACGTCAGTATGTACTTGGAGTCAAAGGGTGATATATGTGGAGGAAATGGAATTCATTTGAACCAATGAAACTGTTTCTTTTGGTTGCCTTAAAGCGCTTGAAAATATTTTAATCAAACAATTCGATGAAAAATGTGTTTTCGAGTTGGACTTACTAATAAGTAATTCGTTGTTTTTATGATTTTAAGAGATATTTTGCAAATAAAATGCTTGTTTTCTTATTCATTCATTCGTGTTTAATGACCTGAGTGCTTTTTATTATAAAATAATTGGAAGGACGTTTCTAATTTATTTTATATTACAATTTTACTGTACGAAATAATAGAGGAACAATTTCTTAAATTTTAATATTATATTATATTTATATTAACATTTGTTTACTCACAGTAATGTGTTTTCTAGATGAAGTTGTGGAACACGCGAACTTCGTGAACGCTCTGCAAAAGAACAATCAAATTTATTAGAAAAATTCTAAATATTGTATCAATATATAATATTATTATTCTTTATTTGATATTAATATATTAATACATTAACACTAGAACAACCGCACCGAAATGAGTTTTCTTATTCCACAACTACTGATGTCATAATACCGTTAAATATCCAAAATGATTTAAAAAAAGAAATAGTTTCACTCGAAGATTATAATGGATATCCGAAGAAATCGAGGACAACCTATTCTAACGATTTTATAAGGACTACCTACGAATCGTATTAAACGCTCAGTAGTTCTAGTATCAAATAAACCATAATGTGACGTCTATAGAAATTTTCTCGGTGTTACACATTAAACCATAAACCGCAGTCTTTCAGGCTGTGAACGTGCAGTGTATGGATTATGTCGATCACCGATACAAATGTCCCAGAAGAAGCGATTTTGCGAAATGGCGGGTACAGATCTTAAAACGCCTATATAAGATCGATAGGAATCACGATTCGTTACAAAATTCCGTGTCTGTCCCTTTATGAACGCCAGTTTTTATGGGATTATCTTCCTGGGGGCATCATATTTTATTGTTATTGCGTCTGTCGAGGCAAGTTCATCGTTTTTTATTAGATTATTATACTCTACCCGTAGGCAGCCAAGATAACGGTGAGTATTCATAAATTAGAGAGCTCAATTTTTTTTAATGTGGACCTATGTTTCTTCCCCATTTTCCCATCGAGCACGTCGGGAATTTTAAACAAGCTTCGAGGACCTGTCGTGCTCTTATCGCAGGGATATGTGTAATCCCTTCTAAACTGATGGAACAGTATGTTCGAAGTTTTGTTCGTGTGCCAGTTAGAAGAGGGGGAAAATACCAAGTGAAACTTGAAAATCAAATTATCGGTTTTATTTTAAGAACAGAAGTTTCTGATTTATTTTGAGAATAGAAATTAATATTTTTATAAATAGATTAAGAGGACAAGTTTAAAATGTAAGGAAGGACAAGTTTGTAAAAGTATTGATTGACAGATGATAGTTGTTATTGAAATTATAGTGAAGGATTTATTATGTTCGTTAACTTATTAATTTATGAAGAATTTATGGTATTTTTTTAAATCATGTATGGTGATAATAACGATTTTATTAAAAATTTTAGTATTTTCATTCTGCGTGACCTATAACAGGCTTTCGAAGAGGTAAACTGTCTAAATTCATTAAACATTTATTGCGAAGTGAAGCCTTGCGTGGATACTTACTTTAAATACAACCTATTGGCAGACCATAAACGACTATAGATTGTTATAACGATTGTAGAAAATGCTACCTTGGACTTTAGGCTGCATTATAGGAAGCTTTATTTATAGAAAGTGGAAATGACCTCGAAGTACTTGTAAGTAATCATTCAACGAGGGTAATTCAGTTTGGTCTATGTATGGTCTAGAATTGGTACACGATGTACAATACATCAAATATAATCTTCACGATATGAACAATTAATTAATTGTTCAATTTAATAGAACAATTAATTAATTAAATCCCTTTGAAGATTTTCAAAGTTCCATAGAATCTTCTATTTTTAATGGAGATCGTATCAATTCATTATTTCTTCTATCCTTTAATCATATAATTACTGCTTTTATTATTGACAATTCAGTTCATTTTTAGAAGACTACAATTTACAATCATTTTACTTAATCAAACGTTAATAAAGATTTCCACATTTCAATAATTTCCATACATTCATAACTATTAATTAAACATACAACATTTTCAATCTCCTACAACGGAATAAGCAAATACGTTCAACAAATATCCATGACTTTTTGTCATTTTTTTTACAATATAACAGAACTCTTAACACTAAAACTACCGATCAGTCAAATTGATTTTGAAATTTTCCTATAGAAACTCCAAGAATGTGCCCATTGACATTTCTATTAAACCATAATAGAGTTTTCACATTCCTAAATCAATGTCTTCAGTGATTTCTCAAAAAATCATCTGTTATCTTTTCAATAATCATACACAGAGGAAATCAGGATCGTGTCACTTTTATCTGCCTGGTAGTTCTACAGTTAACATAGTAAGAGAATGTTCCTCGAATTTCTATAATTAATTTCTATAAATAGAAATTAGTCTAAAAAAAGCGTGTACTATTATAAACGCCCTCAGTCTATTAACGATAGTCTGCCTGCGCCCCAGCGGGCGCACGTGTCCATTTTTGAGCGAGTTCGATTAAAGTAACCAACAGAGGGATAGAATAATGATAGAATCCATTAAGATCGATCGGGTAGCAAGTAGTTTCCAAGGGTCGATCAAGTAAAAGGGCTGGCCAGCAATCGCGCGGCGTAAACAGTTCCCGGATCAGTGAAATGGTTCGCGTGCATCAGGACATTCAGCATCCTTCGTATCTTCATTTCACCAGGCGTTCGTTCGCAATAAAACTCCCCCGGTGAATCGGTATTGAATTTTTTTCTCCCCCGAGGCCACATATTTCAGGCGCGGGACGGCAATAATGAGGCGGAAAATCCCTGTTGCATTACGGACGGGTGCATTCATTGATTACCGTCGTTGTTTCCCATTGGATGCACCACCAGCGAAACAATCGGCTAACTCCGCAGCAATTAGACCCTCTAATATAAAACAACCGATTTTTCAGGGCAATCTTAATCCCTACACAATTATCGTTTCGAACATTTTTATAACATTCGGATTATTTCACTATCATTCCTACACTGTATAATTGGAAACTAATGTTTAACAGGTTTACGGTCAATTCGACGTATATTGAATTTCGTATATATCATTTGACAAATTTTCACGTCGATTTTGATTGTTGCAGTTAGGCGAATAGGTATTCTAATTGGCTGTTTGAACCTTAAAGTCTCAAAATATGAGCAAAGCAGTACCAATTCTGCAAACCTAGTTCAAACAACAAAATGCTGCCAATGATAGATACAGGTGAAATACAGCTCTAATATAGTGTAACTCAAGACGGAAATTTGAATTTCTGAATATCCTTATTACAATGGAAATAAATAATACACTAAATATTCGTATTTCGATGTTACGCATACTCTCGAACACTCATTTTGTCGGAAGAAGTTCAGACGTTCGATGTTATGGGGGTCACCGGTGACCTCAACCAAATCGAATTACTATAATTCATTCAATTAAACTATGATTATTTGAAAACTTTTCTATATTACAAGTAATACCACCTAATGCAGTGACATTTGACAAGATAAACCTACAATAATAATAACGTAATTCAATTACATAAATTGATGCTACATTATTATCATTTTGATACTCAACGTGTTAAAACTCCAACCCCAAGTAACTTCTGTATACCCAGCATAAGACACCACCACCAGAAAAATTACATGAAGCTTGAGCAAAAACTAGCAAAGCGATAACAGTGAAAAGAGTTGACTTGATTGTTTTCGGCTGAAGTCATTCGGATAAGCTGGCAGATGAAAACCAAACGAAAAAATCCTGCGGATATACTGGAACGTGATATCTGTCCGAGGCAGGAGCCGACAAGTCGAAGGATGTGACTTTGTGCGCGCGGGGAAAAATCGATTAGCAGCGATGACAGGCCCGTAACACGCGAATAATCCGCTCGCGCGATGTTTACACGCGATCCGTCCATCGGAAGGATGCATTTGCATGCGAACGCGCGGAAAATCCGAGCTTCCGACTTGATTTGAAAGGCATTATGCCGACTATTCCAGCCCCTGAACACCTGTTGGGGTTCCATCAGACACGAAGCCACTTTTCCTCTGCTTCCGGGCAGAATTTCATTTTGATAAGTCTCTCACGTGTATACACAGAGCCAGCTGTCCTCTAACCTGCTGCGTTCAATCTCCGCTGATACCAAAAACGCGCTCCTTTTAAATCCTCATCGCGCCGTTATTACATTATAATAACAATAATACTCGCGACACGACGTAACGCTTCATGTCATCGCGCGGGAAAATAAAGGATGCGGTAAAATTTCATTATACTTACAAGGAGAGTTGTCGATCCTGGAAATCCAAAGAATTATGAAACGTTGCGTGTAACTAGATTAAGTCGAGGCTAATATATTGCAAATTTGTTCATAACGAATTTCAGTTTGGAAAATTTTGGAAGAATTTTATTTTCAATTTTATACATGCGAGAGAGTAATTAATTTTTTCTTCAAACTTTTTTCTCTACCTTTTGCCGTTCTCAAGATAACAAAATAAAGTAGAGTAAGTTAAGGCTAATATATTACAAATTTTTTCGTGTCGAATTTTAGTTTGGAAAATTTTTGAACAATTTTATTTTACAATTTTATACACGTGAAAGAGTAATTCGTTTTTTGTTGAAACTTTTTCCTCTACCTCTCGCCGTTCCCAAGAGAATAAATTAAAAAAAAATTTGAATTTTCTTCAAGGGGTGGTTTCACCTCTTCAAAGTGAAATGTGGCACGAAAAAATTGCAATATATTAGGTTCGATTTATTCTACGTAAACGCAAGGTGTCATCGTTTTTTGAATTTCCGGGTTCGATAACTTCCCTTGTTAGTCTCTGACAGGGTTATTAACGCGGAAGAAATGTAGCAAAGGGAGTATTAGAGTTTTTAAGTGTTTTACTTTGGAAACATGAACTTGTGTAAATGTGATTCGTTATGTTTGTGGTTTTCGGGGTAGGGTTCAAAAGATTTTCCCGACTTTTTCTCTTCTTAGTATGTATTTACTTGGTTTTCAAAAGTTTGTGTTATTTTTAACTTTTTCTGTTTCGAAGTAAATTCGATTGGAAAAATTAATTATTATTGATTGAGAAAACAATTATTATCGTTATTTTTTGTTTATAATATAATTTCGAACTTCTCATTTTCCAAAACGCACAATATTTAAAAGACTCCATTATTTCGATTCCTTTTCTTTGAACAGTATCCTGTTTTCAAAAATTTGCATTACTATTAATTTTAAAAAATTCCGAAGGAACTTCACCATTTTTAAAAAGATCCATGGATCTC